CTGCAGCGCGTGCTGCTCCTTCACCTGCTGCCTGAAGAGCTGGTACTTCTCCTGCAGGTGCCCTTGCTCCATGCTCCACACCACCGACTCGCGGGCTGCCGGCCGAGGACCACAGCGCCATCACCACCTCCAAAAACCCCCAGCCAGACCTGCTGCTCCCCTCTCATCCTCCTCCTCCCAGCCCGCTCTACCTCTCCGGAGGCTATGGATCTTGCTGATGCACTCCCAGTCGATGGATGTCATCTTCTTCTTGTGCTCCTGGATGACCCTCTGCAGGGCTGCGTTGAGTTCCTCCTGCTGCTGCTGCAGGAACCGCTGCTCCTGCAGCCAACGGCGGGGGGGGGGGCCATCACCCTGGCACCTGGGGGAGATGGTCCCCAGGCTCCCGGTGGCACGGCTGGGGGAGGACCCTCACCTCTCTCCCATCTCCTTTCAGCTCTCGTATCTTCTTCCTGCAGTCCTTCTCCTGGAGGGACTTGAGGCGTTTGGCCTCGTCACGCAGCTTGGCCGTGTACTCCAGCTCCTGGCGCTCCTTCAGCTGCCGGTAGCACCGGGTCGTAAAACTCCTTCTTGCTCTGCCATGCAGACACGGTTAACGCGGCTGCAGGGACCAGAAGAAGTGGCCACCAAAGCAACCAAACCCCCTGCTCAGACCCTGGCACCCCCTGGCACGTGTCCCTCCTTGACCATATCATGGCACCGCGGGACGATGGGCTGGTTACCATCATCTCCTGCTCGATGTGACGAAACATCTGCTCCCGCTGCTGGTGAAACTTCTGCTCCAGCCGGCTCTGAGCTCGCTGCTCTTCCTTCTGCAGCACTCGCAGCTCGCGGAGCTCCTGGCGCCTAAAGGGTTGGGAATCGGGGTGACAGAGCGCCCTGGAGGCACCTCTCTCTGCTGGCATGGCTGACTTGTAGGTGGCTAAAAGAAGGGAGAAGCTCAGCCCTGGTGCAGCATCATGGAGAAGAAAGAAGATGGGACACCTGTTGGGTCCGCGGTGGCCACATTCCCAAACTCAGCTGATGTCACTGCCCCTCCATCTCCCCCTTCATCCTTTCCTACTCTCCTTGGGTGATGTGATTGCTTAGGGGAGAAGATCTTCCCCTCCTCTTTCCATAAGCTGGCTGCTGGACACACCAGATATGGGGCTGGGCAACACTTGGGGTCCTCATGTCTCCCTACTGCACGGCACTGAGGACGCAGGGAAGGGGTTGCTCCTGCTCCTGCTGGAGTAGACCCTGGCCAGGGAGGCCAATGGATTTCCCAAGCCTGGAGCTCAAGCACTTCTCTTGTCCCAGTGACCCACAGACCCATTCCTCCCTCCCGCACCCTCTCCCCTTTGCCCCTGATCCTCCTCGTCCAGAAACGGGTGGAAGATTCCTGGTGGCCCCTCTGCTACCAGCACCACTCACCGAGCCGAGCGCACCATCTCGTCCCTCTCCCCGGCCTTGCCGAGGGTCCTGGCGGTCGTCACGCTCACCTCCTCCCCGTCCACCACAAACCTCCGGGTTTTCTTGACCCTCCTTTGGAGCAAGGCACGTTCCTGTGAGGGGGAGCGACGGATTGAGCTCAGAGGGCCCAAAACTACATAAACCCACCCGTGGGTGGGACCCATGCGAGGTGAGGAGCAGCTTCCCGTCGCCACGTTACCTGCAAACTCACCTTCTGGGCTTCCTCAGCAGAAGGGAAAGGCTGCACTGCTGCAGGGAGGGCACTTGGACCTCCTACATCTGCAGGGGTTTGCACAGGGGATGGCTCCTCTCCTTGCTTTGATGCGATGGATGGATCCGGTGTGTTCCCTGCTTCCCACGCTGCCCGCGCCTGGGAAGAGGTACGGACAAGGGCAAAGCTCATGGTCTTTGTGGCCTTTGGTTGTCCACCAAGGACCTCCTGGGGTTCTGGCAGTGCTCTGTGACCCTTCAAGTCACCCATCTCCTCTCCAGGTCTGTCCTTTGATGGCCCTTCAAGAGCTGGAGCAACCTGCACCCCGTCTTCTTCACGTTCTCCATCTGTCTTTTCCAGCCGTTCCCACGAGCAGCCCTTGGCTGGTTGTCTCTGGGGCTGTTTTCCACTTTCTCCTCTATGTCTTCCTCAACAGGCCCTGGGATCTCCAGGAGGGATGAATCTTCTGCTGAATTTTGGAGTTCCTCACTTGCAGGTCCCTGTCCTGCTGGTGCTGCCGAGGCTTCCTCCGGTTCCTCTCCCGCCAGCACCAGTCCCCCCGGACTGGCTGCATCTCCTCCTGCTTTATGGTCTCCAATCAAACACCCTTTTACAACATCCTCTTCCAGTTTCACTTCTGCTGGCACCAAGGCTTCCTCAGGAGCAGTTTCCACTCCAGTTTCAGCATTGTCTGTGGCTTTCTCCTCATTCCTCCCCCCCCCCTCACCCAGGTCCAGGGGGTCAGCGATGGGCCCGCACACGGTTGAGTTTCTCTCCCCGTTGCTCCTCTCTCCGGCCTCTCCCAGACTGGCCAGGGGCTCCTGCCACCCCTTGAGCACATCCGACCCCACCGCTACCTCCTCCATCTCACTGGGCGTCAGCGGTGCTTCAACCCACAGCACCCTCTCCTCCACCAGCTCGGTGTCCCCAGGCTCTCCAGCACCTTCAGGTTCCATGGGTGCCCTCCCTGCTCCATCACCATCCTTCCCAAGCCCATCTTCAGCCCCGGAGGAGCCAACCTCAACCTTCAGGTCTAGCAACGACCGAGTGACCTGATGCTGATGCTCTGACAATGACTTGAAGCTCTGGGTTTTGGTCCTCACGGTCCACAGGTCCAGAGCTGCCACCAGCTGCCCCACGGCCGAGCCTCCGCGCCAGTCCCCAACTGTGGGTGCCATCAGGGCCCGTGAGTTCCGAGTAGGGTCTCTGCTTGACTCCTTCTTGCCATCGCTTTGGGGGGCCAGAACGGGGCTTGGTTGGGCTGCAAGCTGTCCCTCTGCCGGCGTTTGGCCAACCGGCAACGCGTCAGCACGTTGGCTTTCCTCCCGGGGCTCTGCCTTGGGTCCAACCTGCTCTACCATCAGCTCCTGAAGTTCAGCAAGGTCTCCTGGCCGCCACGGCCCCGCGGGGAGCCCGGCCGCGTTGCAGGGGGTCCCCAGGGAGCTGGTCTGCTCCTCTCGACACCCTTGAACTTCTCCTCCTGCCTCTGCTGGGGCTGGTGTCCCTTGAGGAACAACCAGCGCCATCATCTCCAACCCACTGGGCTCTGCCCTGTGCTGCTCCTTAGCTGTTTCTTGGGATTTCATCCCTCCAAAAAACGACCTGCGCCGCATCAGCTTCCGAAACTCGGACGGCCTCTTCACGGGGAGCCTGACGGAGCCCGTGGGCTGGGGCGAGGACCTCCTCCTCATTTGCTTCAAGAGGTCAGACGCTCTCTTTGTCCTGGGCTCTGCCACCACCTGGATGTCGGATGAGATGCCCGGCTCCTCGCCAGCTCTCCCCGTGCTGTCCGGGGGCTGATGCTCCAGGGACCCCGCCGGGGTCGGGGGGCAGGAGGACTCCCCATGCTCCTGCCCAGGCTGTGAGGTGAACAACGGGGGAGAGATGAGGCCCAACGATCTGGTGGGAAAGGTTGGAGGGATCTCGCCCTCCAGCTGGTGCCTACTCACGCACCGAGAGGACTGGACCTTCCTCCTCATCCTCTTCCTCCAGCACGTCAGCCCGGGTTTCAGCCACCAGCTCCCGGAGCGGCCGCTTGTCGGAGATGCCTGCCACGAAGGGGTGCTGGGTGGGAGTGAGGGAGGTGAGCGGGGGCCAGCGCCGGGGACGGGTCCCACCATCCTGGGCAGGTGGCAATGGGTGCTACCCACCTGCAGGAGCTGGCTGGCTGACCACCGCGCCTCGGGGCTCTTCTCCAAGGATTTCCTCAGGAAGTCCTTGAAGTCTTCAGACCTGTGGGATGGTCCCTGTGAGGACAGGGGCTGAAGCTCCCCATCACCCCCACTGCGGACCCCACAGAGCTTGGGGTGCTGCTGGGGACACACAGGCTCTGTTAGCGCCTTGGCAGGAGGAACCCACCCCAGTGCTGCCCACTGGTGTCACCTTCAAAGGTGGTGTGATGGGAAAAGGTGGTGTGCAAAGGTGGTGTGATGGGAAACCCATGGTGCCACCTCTGGAGCTGGGCTTGGAGGAATCACAACCAGCATGACTTATGGTCCAAGAGCCCACCCCAGAGCCCAGACATGGCTTCGAGCAGGAGGGACAACTTCTCCCCCCGTCAGCGGAGTTGGGGTGACATCTCCGCACGGGGACTCACCACCTCTTGGGGTGCCGCAGGGTGGGCGGCTGGGACTTGGCGATCTTCAGCAGCACCCGGAGCGGGTTCAGCTCATGGTAGGGTGGCTCCATCTCGGCCATCTCGATCAGCGTGATGCCCAGCGACCAG